TTAAATTATGTTATTACAGTATATTATTATTATACTGAAATAATAACTTAGCCAGATCAACCAAAAATCATTTGGATAATTTTTATCAGGTGCCCCAAGAATTATGAAAATAATAGTTTGATTTCCTAATAAATATTAAGTATTTTCCACAACTTGCAATTTGGATAATTAGAAAATTATTCTAATTATTCTGTAATATTAAATCATTTTTATTAAATTCGCATTTTAAAAAAAAATATATCTTTAAAATAAATTTTCAATACACATATAATAATAGAATTTAATGCTTAAATTTCTAGTATTTTAGTAGACTAAGTATTTTAGTGTTATAATTTAAAATATGTATTAATATATGTATGTTTCAAAATTTTAATATAAATAAAAAGAATAGAAGCATACCTCATATTAATAAAAAAAAGGATCATAAGACCCTGATAGACAAACCAAATGAACTAGTAAATTCTATTAAATAGTTCATCATGACTAACTATCTCTAAATGTTTTATACGTCATAACTAAGATTCCAAAAAAATCTTAGCATAAATAAATTTTAAAATATAATTATATTCACAATTCAATTTGAATATCGATTCCATGCATATTCTGTTAACCTGACTAAGTCAAAAGAGTATGATAGTTTTAATATATAATAAACTAATTCAAAACTCTATATGCGAACAGAGATATACTTACCAATGTATAGCATTAATACTTAGGTTCTTAATAAATATAATGTATATCATTATTTTTTTTTTTTGAATGTGGTTTTTAAATAAGCTTGGACCCTGAACTAAAACAAAAGTTTAATAATATCTAAAATTTTCAGTAACTATACTTTAAACGAATATTACCTATTCCTTTTAGAGTTGAAACATTAATCGCACTTTAATTCTCATTCTCTATTAATAAATTTTAAATTACTAGAGTAAAATAATTTAAATGTGATTAGATAAGAATATTCAATAATATATTTGTATTAATGAGTTTCGAAATTAACAAATAAGTGCACACTTCAAAATAAGTAGGAGTTTTTGATTAGGCTTTTACTATGTTGAATTATAAATCAGAAAAATAAAATAAGATTTTCTGGTTTTAATTTTGTAACTAGTATTACAAATCGTCAAAAATTTTTCAATCGATTAGTTGGTCATTATTTTTTTAGTCAGTTGCAACTAATCGATTAATCGATTAATCAATTAGTTGCAACTAATTCATTAAGTAAATAAATAATTTTTCAATCGATTCTTTGCAACTAATCAATTAATTCTTTAGTCGATTAGTTGCAACTAATCGATTAGTTGATTAATCGATTAATCGATTAGTTGGTGTCTAAAAAGTTCAGTCGATTAGTTGTCAACTAACCAACTAATCGATTAATTTCGATTTCGATTTGTATTACTATTTGTAACCTTGTTATCTGATTTCAAAAATCTAATATTTTATTCTACGATCTTTATAAATGTGATCACACAATTTAACTATTAAAAACTCTATTCATTTTCTGATGGAAAAATTGAAAAATTACTACTATTTCTTTTTAAGAACAACATCTGATTAACTAAATCCAGAGAAAGATGAGTTCTTCTTGCTGAAATATGGGCACCAGTATCGGAAAATAAGCATTCAGATGGAACTGATATCGCAGGAACAGACAAATACTTACGGGCAAGTTGACTGAGCAGTGAAAAGCTTGCACATCTTCCTTCCCACCATATTAAAGGGTCTTGTTCCTTAGGAGCAACTTGTTCTCTTAAATATCTTGTTAACTCATTCTCAGTAGCAGTTGGTG